GGATGAAAGGAAATGTAAAATATAGGTAGAGTGGTATAGGTCTTATCACTGGCTGATAATGGTCTATATTAATGCCACTGTTGACTGCTGTTCACTTTACATGGTTCAAATGTTATTCTGTTATAGTTTATTAAATATTTTATTACACTATTGGGTTCAGAATATATTTCCCCTGTGTTCCTCCTCTAAAAATTAAGTGCGTCTTAAGGTCCGGTGCATCTTATGGGGCAAAAAATACGGTACCTCATGTGCTGGTAATCTCTAAAACAGACTACTGCAACACTCTCTATATAGGGCTGCCCTTGAAAACAGTATGGAAACTTCAGCAGGTCTAAAATGCAGTGGCCAGACTGATTATAGGTACCAGCAAATACAAACAAACAGAAATTAGTTTTTTAAGTCGTGGCCCCTTCCCTCTGGAACAAGCTTCCTACAGAGGTTTGTTGGGCACCATTCCTCTTTGTTTTTAGGAAGCTAATTAAGACTGAATTAAATAAAGCTGCCTTCTGCCAGTTGTAAATATTGTTGTGAGATGTTCAAATGGATTTCAATTTATGCATTTTTATTTGAAGGTAGTTTTTAGCTAGTGACAAGATTTATTGTACAGTGGTGCCCCGCATAGCGAGGTTAATCCGTTCCGGATTAACCTTCGCTATGGGAAAACATCGTAAAACGGATCAAAAACCCCAAATGGGCCCAAAACTCACCGTTCTCCGATGTTTTCCCTTGTTCTGGCGGCCATCTTGGGTGTACCAGTGGCCATTTTGAGCGTCCCGGCGGCCATCTTGGGTGTTCCAGCGGCCATTTTTTGTGCCGGTGGCCATCTTGGGTGTACCAGCGGCCATTTTTTGTGCCGGCGGCCATCTTGGGTGTGCCGTCACCCATTTTTTGTGTTCCTGCGGCCATTTTGGAGCCGCAGAACAGCTGTTCCCCCCATCGTAATGCAAGCATGCCCTCGCATTAGCGATGGGGAAATCCACATCGCAATGCGGATTCATCGTTCAACGGTGCACTCGTTATATGAGGCACCACTGTATTTTATTGCATTTTTGACATATTATATGATGTTTATGATTTTACTGCATATTGTGAACCACCCAGATAGTGACAACACTAATGGAACAATCCATCAATCCATCAGTCCATCAATCCATCAATCAATAAATCCATCAATCCATTGTCCTTTGACTTGGATTCCTGCACCGAGAAGGGAGAAGGACTTGATGGCCTTATAAGCCCCTTCCAACTCCATTATTTTATTATTCCTAAATATTTAAACTTTTGATTAGCATCCACACCATGGATCTTCTCAGGCCCATTTATATAAATGCAGTTTGCCTGTACTCTAAGGGAGAAAAGTCAGCTATAGAGATCGAGGTTTATGAGCCCAACAGCAGCCTCTGTGTTCCACAAAGCCCTTTGAATAGTAGAAGAAGCCTTACCTTATTGTGCCCAAAGTCATGTAATACAGTGCCAAGCTTCTTGGTATTGATGCGAAGCTTATGAGCAGCAATTATTGGGTTAGGATCCCGCCAGTCTATTGATACGCGATGGTACCAGAGGTGCTTTCCTTCCTGAATGTGTGCTGCTTTGATACCTGGATCAAAACGATGCACCTCACATCCACTGTTGGCCATGCTGACCTCAAACTGGTTGTCTTCGCTTCCCAAGCTTATTGAAGCAAACAAAACAAACAGAAGGGAACAGTTACTGTAATATAAAAACAAGAAATACAGAAGAAGAAGAGGAGAAGGAGCAGGATCCAACAAGCTATCTTATGGGACCTCAAAATCTAACAAATTTTATTTGGCACGCTTTTAGAGACTTTAGTCACCTCTTCAGATACATCTGTTGCCTCTAAAGAAGAGAGCTATGGTCTACAAAAGTTTGGGCCAAATAAAACTTGTCAGTCTGTAAGCCACTGTATGACTCACTGTTGCATTTTCTCCCATCCCAAATATTTCTAGTCAGGAACTCAGCTGATCTAGGAGCAAACTATGATCCTTGCCTCAGGCATTTTGTCTTTAAACAAGCAAGCTTTAGCATCCTGAGAATGTGTTGAGTATATCCAAGCAGACACAAAGTAGAGCAGCTGTACAATTGCTGGATGAGTCACAGAATTGGAGAACTGGAGCAGAGTCCAAAGGATCATCTTGTCCAATTCCCCATCAATGCAAGAAAATTCACAATTAAAACATTCCTGACAAACGGTCATGTTGTACTTAGAAAACAAAGAGTCCACCATTTTCTGAGGTAGTCTGTTCCATGTGAACAGCTCTTGCCATCAGGAAGTTCCTCCTAATCTTTAATTGAACGAGGACTGCAAAATGCGGCAAAGCAAAACTTTTGTTTCATCCTGAGACCAGTCCTGTCATTGGGCAGAGTAAGGTGTCTGCCTTGGACAGTAGATTTCAGGAGTCACATAGTTCATTATTTAATTTATTGTGGTCCATTTTTACTGCAAAGAAAAGAGAAGCAACTGTGAGATTTTCTGCCTCAAATGCCAAAATAATATCACCATTTTAGGTACACATGTGCCTGGGGGGAGTGGAAGTGAGGAGGCAATAATGCAATAAATTAATAAAGTAGATAAAGTAAAAATGAGGCCTTCCCCAAAAGGCAAGTGACAGGCCAGCTGTAAAATGCACAAGACTTCTGTAAAGAGGACATTCTGCTACAGAGACAATGCTTTTACAGCTGAAGAGCTTCTCAGCAGCGAAGACACTGTCAGCTCAACAGCCTTTCAACAGCTGATTGGAGTGCTTGATAGATTGGAATGGAGTGAGATGGATCTTAAGATAACCTTGAATGCAAGGACAAAAAAAAATGAAAATGAAAATAAAAGGCCCCTCCAACCAAAGATACTAGAACATGGGGAAAATTTTCTCCCCACACCACTTCATACCTTCCCCCCTCTTCTTTAAGTCCAGCAGGCAGCAACAAAAATAATCTAACAAAGGAAAGAAAACAAAAAAAAAAAAACAGCAAAAAAAAAAAACCAACAACAACAACAAAGTGTCCCACAAAGAGGGAAAAATCTCCAAAGAAATCACAAGTTAAAAGTCCAAAAAATATTTCCAAGGAGACCTCTTCAGCTGCAGGAAACAAAATTCAAAGAAATGGGAAGAGGGGACTCTTCCCCTGCCAAAAAATAAATAACTACTGTAAATAAAAGGCAAAAAAAGGGAAGGGATCCAAAACAAAGTTGGCAGGCATGGAGCAATCGAAGATGGATGACACCAGTAACACAACACACAGTAATATCACAATGAATCACTGAAGTAGAGAACACTCCTCACTGGGTTTCAGGCCCTTTTTACAGATTCTGAATTCCTGCCCCAACCCAACATTCTGATTGGCCATTGACAGCCCTCAAAAGGCTACTAGATGAAAAATTTACCAAGTAATTTGACAAAGGGTGAAAAGTCACAAAAAAGTTACCTGAAAGAGGGAACATGAAAGAAACATAAAATGTTGGTGTGCCCCCCTCTTTTCTAGACACAACACATTCACGTCTTGGAGATCTCCTTTTGAAAACTGGAAGGCACATACAGTACCTTGACCTGTGTAATGGGAATCACACGGGGGGGGGGGGCGGCTCAGATGGGCTTTTCGCTAGTAGCTGTATTCTGGGCTATCTGAAGTGTACACTCCACAAAAGCACTGTCTCTGTGCACAGTACATTATACTGATCTAATCCAGATATATCTTGAATAGAGAGGGAGGTATTTATATTTGTATACCAATACCCACACACAGCTGGAGTGACTGAGGGTTTGGCCCCCTGGGACTGGACCGTCCACTCATGCGTCCGCCACTGCTGGTGGCCCCACTTTCCCTTCGAATTGCTCCAGTCGGCTGGCCACTCCTGGCAAAAGGAGGGAAGACGAGTCTCCCTGCAAGGCTGACAAATGGCTAGCTGACTGGGCACTCCAGAGCGAATGGAAGGAAGAGCACGGCCAGCGGCAGCGGAAGCATGAGTGGACGGTCCGGCCCCAGGAGGCGGACCCTCGTTAACTCCAGCTGTGCGGAGGTATTCGTATTCATACACAGACACAAATACCCTCATCTCAAATATGAATGACTGCAGTCAAATCCATTCCCCCGCTTATAATACATATTTGTTCACTATATCATCACACTACCATGCAAACATTGGACTTTGTTGGACCTTAGATGGGAGACCACCAAGACACCCACTTCAAAGTTGATAATAGAAGGCCGGATGGAATTATAGTCTGAAGATGCAACCACATTTAGAAATATTTTACTACATGGTATAAAAGTCACTGCAAATCAGCCTGGATGTCATCCCCTCCCCAATCCATAGTTTTTCATCCACCACTGGAGAAGGAAAAGAATTTGAGGAGGGGAGTGAGAGGAGGAAATTGCCACTTGGCCCTTGTTTACAGCTTATTAATGTGGTCCTTTTGTAGCTGTGCCTCCTGCAAATCTGGAGGGCTACACAAGTGCTACATTAATAAGCTGCAAACAAAACCATTTACCATTTTCCCTTTCCATCTCTCCTGACATCTGTGGAGAATTTAACACCAGTTAAAGCAAATTCACCTGAGTCAACTTGACTTCCTGGATGTGACTTCACAGCAGACCAATTCATATTTTTCTCACTGTGTTATATACCTCCCTATGAATGTAATAGCTAGACAGTTTCCAGACAAGTTAGCTTCCAGCCCCTTTGAACTATTTTTGCATCACACTTCTACCAAATGTTTTTTGCTTTCCACCACTATCTTCCCAATTCATTCAATACATATTTATTGTAAGGCTGTCTGCTTTTTAGTCTAAAATATTTGTTCCTTCTACAGTTATCCTCTGGAAAGAACCCATAAATTCCAGCTGGTCTTTATTTTCTCTTTTATAAATAGAGATATATTAGATAAGAAGCATATTTCAAGGAGATTTCACTCAGAACAAAACCACTTCTCTGAAGCCATACACCAAAGAGCAGAGTTATAGCCCCATCTCACTGAAAGATTGTGATCTGAGTAGAATTTCAAGGAATTAAAGTTGATGGTTGTGTAATTTCTTCAAAAAGAAAAAAGTATGCTAATATACATACAGTCATTGTATATACTGGCACCCTTAGTATTTGGTAGCACCACCTTTGGGGAAAAAACTAAAATAAATGAATGAGTTTCGTACACCTCTCTACTGGAATTTTGGACCACTCTTCTTTTGCAAACTGCTCCAGGGCCTTCAGATTTGAAGAATGCCTTCTCCCAACTGCTGTTTTGAGATTTCTTCACAGGTGTTCTATGGGATACAGATCTGGACTCATTGCTGGCCATTTCAGAACTGATGGTTGTTGTAGGTTTTTCAGGCGGTTTGGCCGTGTTCTTAAAGTTTTTCTTCCTAACGTTTCGAAAGTCTCTGTGGCCAGCATCTTCAGAGGACAGGAGTCAGAACTCTGTCTGTGCTCTGGTGCAGTTTGTGGGATAGTTGAGTATTTGTAGCTGTGGGATCAGCTTTTGTCCTTTTCAGGAGATTATGGTGATCTGTGTATTTTTTTTGGTTGTGGATGTACTGATGTGATAAGAGGGAGAGATGATCTATCACTGTGATGGATGGGTGTCATTAGCTGGTCTTTTGTGTGCAGTGATCACCGGTCCTTGTGGCTGGGTTGAGTTTGTTGACCTTTTGCAGGCTGTATTTTTCAGTGCTGGGAGTCAGGCTTTGTTGAGTTTTAGAACAAGCCTATACCTATCCATTTTGAAGGAAATCAACACTGAGTGCTCACTGGAAGGACAGATCCTGAAGCTGAAGCTCCAATACTTTGGCCATCTCATGAGAAGAGAAGACTCCCTGGAAAAGACCCTGATGTTGGGAAAGTGTGAAGGCTGGAGGAGAAGGGGACGACAGAAGACAAGATGGTTGGACAATGTTACCGAAGCAACCAACATGAATTTGACCCAACTCCATGAGGCTGTGGAAGACAGGAGGGCCTCATGTGCTCTGGTCCATGGGGTCACGAAGAGTAGGACATGACTTAACAACTAAACAACAATAACAAAAAGACTCTTCTTTTTTGTTGAAGCTCTGATGGTGTTTGTGGATTTCAGTGGCTTCCCTGTGTAGTCTAACATAATGATTGCTGATGTTGTCCAGTACTTCAGTATTTTGAAATAGAATTTCATGTCCAGCTTGTTTTAGGACATGTTCAGCTACTGCTGATTTTTCCGGTTGTTTTAGTCTGCAATGTCTCTCATGTTCTTTGATTCTGGTGTGGATGCTACGTTTTTGTGGTTCCAATATATACCTGGCCACAACTGCAAGACATCCAGTATACCCCTGCAGTGGTGAGGGCGTCCCTTTTGTCCTTTGCAGACCATAATATTTGTTGTATTTTTATGATGGGCCTGAATACTGTTTGTAGGTTGTGTATTTTCCAAACGTTACCTCTTTGATGTATGGCAGAAATACTTAATTTGTTGTTGGCTCTTTTTCCTCTTCAGTTTGGTGTTGTTCTCTTGGCTTGATGGCTCTTATGATTTCATTCTTGGAATAGCCATTCGCCTGTAGGGCTCAATTCAGATGGCTGAGTTCAGTGCTGAGAAATTGAACTTCACAGCTCCAGTTTGCATGATCTACCAGTGTTTTGATTATGCCTCTTTTTGATTGTGGGTGGTGGTTGGAGTTTTTGTGTAGGTACCAGTCTCTGTGGGTGGGTTTTCTGTAGACCTTGTGTCCCAATAGGAGGTTAGGTTTGCATATGACCATGACATCTGGAGTTGGCCCTCTATTTCTTTTTCCATGGCGAATTGTATATTTGGGTGGATGCTGTTGAGATGGTTTAGAAATTCTTCCAGTTTTTCTTCACTGTGGTTCCAAACGGTGAAGGTATCATGCATGTATCAGGACCAGACTGTGGGTGCAAAGGGTGATGAAGCCAGGGCCTGTTTTTCGAAATGTTCCATGTAGAGGTTTGCTATAACTGGGCTGAGGGGGCTGCCCATGGCCACTCCATCTGTTCATAGAATTCATTATCCGACTGAAAGTAGCTGGTTGTTAGGCAGTGTTGGAAAAGGGCCTTGATGTCTTCTGGAAATATCTGCTGGATGAGTGTCAGTGTCCTTTATCAGTACCTTGACGTAGTAGGGATACTACATTGAGATGGATATAAAGTTAGAAAAAGTGTGGCGTGAAAAGAGATACCGTTAGGATTAGATAGGTTTGCATATCAGGATTAGGCTTAGGCTAGATAAAAGGCTGCATGAAATGTCTTTATCCTGTTTTTATTGTTTGCCATTCGAACCCTTTGCATTTTACTCCTTTATTTTAAAAATGTATTAAGCATCTCTTCATTTTCTAGTGGCAAGTATCAAATAAACATCCACAGTGACTGCTTGGCCGCACAGATCAAAGAAGAGGGAAAAGGAAGGGAAGAAAAATACATCTTCTGAAAAGTTTCAAGTTGCAGCATTACCTAAGGGTTTGACTTTTAACGAAAAAAAGGTGAAGATTTTCCACAGAGCCAAGTGGATGTTCAAGAATGGGCTCCGGTGTCTCAAAGTGTGTGGAAATAACAACATGAAGGAGCACACTGGGTGTCTGACCAGGTACTATTGTGTTCTATGAAGAATGAAAATGGGTTTATACTTGAATCAACTAGGAACCATGGCTTGGAAAAGTAATGTTTTTGGATTACAGTTCTCAGAATTCCCCAGTCGGAATTCCAGGAGCTGAATATCCCCATCAAAAATAACTTCTCCAAATGGTTGTTGTGGGTTTTTCGGGCTCTTTGGCTGTGTTCTGAAGGTTGTTCTTCCTAACATTTCGCCAGTCTCTGTGGCTGGCATCTTCAGAGGACACCAGAGCACAGTTTGCTGTCCTCTGAAGATGCCGGCCACAGAGACTGGTGAAACGTTAGGAAGAACAACCTTCAGAACATGGCCAAAGAGCCCGAAAAACCCACAACAACCATTAGATCCCAGCCGTGAAAGCCTTCAAGAATATATTAAACTTCTCCAAAGCGTGGAACTTACATGGTTTGGCTTGTATAATTTAAGTATGGAGGAGAGGGTAAATATCACTGAATGCATCTATTCAGAATAGGTAGTTTGTTTTGGCCTCCATTTTTCCATGTAGGAAGAATTCTTTAAAAAAATAATATACTGTAAACAAGATTACATAAAATATTGTTAACACACCACATTAAGAGCAATGGGATTGTGAAATGGTTCCCTTGCCATATATACACATAGTTTAGAGAGGACACTTACCCTAGTGAGTACAGGCGACACTCCTTGCTTTTGATTTGATGAACTAAACTGAATCTGTCATCCAAGCAGACTGGCCAGGGTTTTGCCAGCCTGTCAGGGCTTCCTAGCAGGTCTTTCATGTCCATGTGATCACATGAAATCTGTTTAAAAAAGCAAATCCTTCTTTCAGGCTATGTTGCAATATCTCTGAAACATCTATCACATTTATTTTGCAAGAAGAAGTAAGAACTAGTCCATATCTTAGAGGAAATGGTGTAGCTGTTACATGGTTGACAAACTAGAGGAGAGGCAAACAGGCTGCTGGATTTATTTCTTGTTTGTTTGCTTTGCTAAAGAAAGGATGTGCTGGATCAAAAGAAGTCCAGCAGGAGAGCAGTGAAACATAATAGACAAATAATTGAATTCCAGCGAATATTACACACTGAACACATTTTTTCAAGGACAGCTTCCTCAACTGCAAAAGTCAATTTATTTATTTATTTTCTTTCAAATCTTGGATTAAATTTTGCCCTTGGCATTATTTAAAGGATAATGTCTTATCTCCCAATTACCTGCTTGGGCATAATGACTCATGCAACAGTAACCCTTCCAGATTTTATTACCGCAATTTTTGTGTGTGGACTGGCCTTTGAATGCTGTCTGGAACGTTATTTGATTGGATTGCAATTTACCAGCTATGCTGGCTGGAGGATTCTGGGAGCTGTATTTGATTAAAGTAAATATTCAAGCTCTAAATGAGTTCATGTGCTAGGTTGTACCAGTGCTCTGACAGCTGCACTGCCCCCCACTATACTTCCACACCTGATTTAAAGTATTACAGAACAGGTAAATGTATAACGTTTTAAAAAAATCAACAGCAGTAAGATGCCCTCAAAATCTTTTAAGGTTTAAAAACGCATTTAAAAGTGAAGCAACAGGAGTTTTACTTATTAAACATAATAGTTGTATGCTGTCCTGTCAAGTGGAGTGGGTTAGCTCTAAGAGCTATAGTTCCTTTAAATATAGATTTATTGTTGTTGTTTAGTTGTTAAGTCATGTCCGACTCTTCGTGACCCCATCGACCAGAGCATGCCAGGCCCTCCTGTCTTCCATTACCTTACGGAGTTTAGTCAAATTCATGTCGGTAGCTTCGATGACACTGTCCAAACTTGTCCTCTGTCATCCCCTTCTCCTCTTGCCTTCACACTTTCCCAATATCAGGATCTTTTCCAAGGAGTCTTCTCTTCTCATGAGATGGCCAAAATATTGGAGCCTCAGCTTCAGGATCTGTCCTTCCAGTGAGCACTCAGGGTTGATTTCCTTCAAAATGGATAGGTTTGTTCTCCTTGCAGTCCAGGGGACTCTCAAGAGTCTCCTCCAGCACCACAATTCAAAAACATCAATTCTTCGGCGGTCAGTCTTCTTTATGGTCCAGCTCTCACTTCCATACGTCACTACTGGAAAAACCATAGCTTTGACTATGCGGACTTTTGTCGGTAAGGTGATGTCTCTGCTTTTTAAGATGCTGTCTAGATTTGTCATCGCTTTCCTCCCAAGAAGGAGGTGTCTTTTAATTCCGTGGCTGCTGTCACCATCTGCAGTGATCATGGAGCCCAAGAAAGTAACATCTGTCACTGCCTCCATATCTTCCCCTTCTGTTTGCCAGGAGGTGAGGTTTTTTTTAATGAACTTCAGACCATTTTTTGCACTCTCCTCTTTCACCCTCATCATGAGGTTCCTTAATTCCTCCTCACTTTCTGCCATCAGAGAGGTATCATCTGCATATCTGAGGTTGAACTGAGGTTTCCAGATGTTACAGTCCACATGCATTTATATAGCCAAATTCTAGCTAGATTTATACTCGGTAGCTAAAATTTGGCTGTATAAATGCATTTGGACTGTAACATCTGGAAGACTCAATTATCACAGGTAAGAGTTTTTGATACTTCTTTGGGGTTTTGGCAGTTCTAACACAAGACTGTCAGGAGCCCCAAGGTTGGGAACCATTGCTGTACAACAAGCTAGTTGGCCACTCCCAGTACACCTCTTCAGCTGTAAGAAGCTTTGCCTAAGAGTATGTTATGTTATGAACCATTAAATCAGAACCAGCTTATAGCAACCCTAATAGGGATTTCAAAGTAAATGAGATATTTAAAGAGTGATTTTATCAGTTCTACAACCCCAGTGAGCTTTCATGGCTGAGCAGGGATTCACACTCCGGGCCTTCTGAGCCCACAACCTGGGGTTGTGTCATTTTGTCCACAACCCCACACCGGGTATCATGCCTGACAGTACAGGCTTCATTAAAATCTGCCTCAGAAAAAATAACATTATCGGAACAAAGACACCAACTCAACAGTCACAAGATAAAGCTAAGAGGAAGCTCTGCTAAGCAAGACAAGGAAGTCACACCTACTGATGAACGAATAATAGTAGCTGCCTGGGATCAGATAAGCTAGCATCTCTGTGAGGAATATTTTAATAAAGCCTATACGCTCAGACAAAGCTTCTCACAGTACTGTACTAAAGCAGTATACTAGGAGTAGCTAATCAGCTCTTTAGAAAGCAGTAGTTCCCAGTCTTGAAGCTTTTGGTAGTCTTAAACTGTAACTCCCAGAAGCCCAGAGACACAAGGTAGCTTGGCAACTGTCTTAACAGTTTCAGTGTTTCAGTTTAATTCCATTTATACTCTCAGGATTAGACTATGAATTACAAACCTAATCAGTTAAGGGGGATATAGGTGCCTTTCCTTTCAGGGATGGAGTAGCATTTACCCTCAGTACGTAGTCCATTGAACTAATGTTGAAATTAATGTATTAATAAAACCAAATCAATGGCATAAACATTTTAAATTTTAAACATTGACACAAGAGTTAATTTTACAATTTCCAGTGTTAATTAATTTTTTTCACACCTAACGTTCCAAGCTCTGGGTATGGATGGGTCATCCGTGCTCTACAAAATCTAGCTATTCTGCCATTCTAGACTGAAGTTTAGCCCCTCATTAAATTTGTCTCATGTTGCTTTTATAAGCTTTTCCTTTATTTTAATTATCGCAGTATTGTACCATTCTCTACCACATTTGGTTTGTTTTTATGAGAGGAAGAGAAAGACACACAGAGAGAAGGTTGGGATGCAATTTTTTAAAAAAAGAAATAAATAGAAATAAATAAAATGAATACAGTTCAACAGGCATTCAATATAAAGGCCAGGCCAACATAAAGTCCATTCCTCCCAAAAAATCTCTCCTCCTCCCCATCTTTCTCTTGTGGGATTTAGAGTCTAGCTCATTTAAGTACTCATACGTACGTTTAAATCCATTCTTTATTTCCGAGTAGATATGCTTAAATAATCTGCCCGGGGAAATTGAGAATTAAGCATATGTTTAGAGTCTCGGCTGAACACATTTTAGATCAACTAAGCTTGCAACATAATCATCTCGTCTGGAACTCACAACAGGATTGTTTGCCACAGAAGGAGCCACAATTAACAATCTTCCAGTTAAACAGATGGAAAAAAGCAATCCTGCCTCAAAATTCCAGAAGGAAATCTTGCTATTATAAAGTGTGAAGCTCATAAACAGATGAAGGAATGAATCCTGACATTTAACTGTCATCTCCCTGGCATCAGACAAAACTATCCATACGGTGTGCTCCAGAAGTCCACCCTCTGCAGTATGATACTCCACATTCTGCAGCAAGAAAAGACAACTTCTGAAGCCTGAGTAATATGTGGACATATACATACATTTGATTTTCTGCACCCTATTTTTCCCCCTCAATTTACCTTCTGCATTTCAACATACTTACTGTACATCTGTCATGACCCAGGAATCCAGCATTGACTCAGAAGCTGAGAAACCAGTGGCATCAGCAAAAAAGCCACCAGGCCCAGACGCCACTTGAGAATACTTCCCCCAACCCCCAAATCTTTGAGCCTGAGACCCAGGAGCCCAAATCAACACCTATTTTTCCCCCTCAATTTACCTTCTGCATTTCAACATACTTACTGTACATCTGTCATGACCCAGGAATCCAGCATTGACTCAGAAGCTGAGAAACCAGTGGCATCAGCAAAAAAGCCACCAGGCCCAGACGCCACTTGAGAATACTTCCCCCAACCCCCAAATCTTTGAGCCTGAGACCCAGGAGCCCAAATCAACAAGCTAGACCCATAACCACTGTAAAGTAGTGCCCCCAACTCTTTGACTTTGTCAAAGGTCTATCCCTTTAAAGTTTCTCATTCTGTGGGAAGTGGTGAAGTCTGGAAAGATTAGTGTAGAACAGTGGTCTCCAACCTTGGGCCTCCAGATGTTCTTAAACTACAATTCCCAGAAGCCTTCACCACCACCCCTGCTGCAGAAGCCCATGTACCAACAACTGCAGCCTGCCCAGCATTCACTCCCGAAGAGATGAAAGAGCATTAGACTTTGTCAAAGGCCTATCCCTTTAAAGTTTCTCATTCTGTGGGAAGTGGTGAAGCCTGGGAAGATTAGTGTAAGAAGACCTTTGTTGAGCTTCAAATCCTTACTAGAACAACTTGCTACTCACCTGTATTTCTCTTAGGTGCTGCCCTGCCTAGTCTGCCTCATGGACAGGTTAGTGAGGATTATTCAATTTTTATTTCAGTTATCTTTACCACTGAGCTTGTAACAACTGAATATGTGCAATCATTCTGCACATTGGTAATAAAGCAAAAGATAAACTTTCTGCTTATTATAATCAGCAGAATCCATTTAAGAAGTATGAAGAATCTCTAATTAAAATACAGGAACAAGAAGAAACAGGAGATGATCTAATAAAATGGAAGAAAGAAGGAAGCCTAACAGTAGCAATATAAATATAGATGTGGAAAAGAGAAAATGTATATATCCAGCTATATATGTGCTTATTTCCCCTTCCCCCATGCAAACAATTGCACATGTTCTGGTACCCTGCTACAACAGCTAGACCATGTCATCATCCAATTTCTCTATAATTTATATTTTTAAATGTTGTGCTGTTGCTGATAGAAACTTAAGTGAATATGAGAGCAGAAATATCACACTTAGCAATTTAAAGTCATCTTCAGCCCAATCTGACTACTTCAGACATTTACCCTGTTATATTCAGGCTTAGGCTGGAGACATTTCTACAGAAAATTAGAAATAACTTGAAAAAGT